TTCCCTTTTTTCTCCTCTGTTAAATTGCTTCCCTTGCCTTATGGGTTCATTCTACTGGGGTTCATGTAATTTTTGTCTTTATTGTCTATTTCTAAGAATATCCTTCAAAACATTTTGGAATGCAGGTTTGTTGGTCATTAATTTCTTCAGGTGTTCTTTATCAGGGAAGTGTCTTATATCTTCATCAAATCTGAAAGATAATTTTGTATGGTACATCAAACTGAGTGGGAGGTTGTTTTCTTTTAGGGCTTGACAGGCCTTTAAATGTAATATTTAAAGTGTCAACAGAAACTAAATATTTTAAGAAGATTTTTACCATTAAATTCAGTCATCCTTAGGATCCTGTTCTAATTGTTCTGACTCCTCCTCTAGATGATTCAGTCTTCAGCAGGCATCAGAATCAGCAGCAGGGCTTGTCGCAACCCACTGCTAACTGCCCACTCTAGGAACTTCTGATTTAGTAGATCTCAGTGGGGCCGGGGAATCTGTGTTTCTACCAAGCTACCAAATGCTGCTAATGGTGCTTGTCTAAGGACTTGACTCTGGGAACCAATGTTCTCAATTGTCAGTTCCATGCAGGGGAAAAACTGCATCTTCAGGTAAGCTTCAGTCTGTGGTTCAAGAAATTTGCATCAAAGAACAGAGAATAAATTAGTCCTTAAATGAATGAATAAAAATGAAAGTAAGGCCCCCTGCAAGCACAGAGGAGGTGAGCCTTGCAGGTGGCAGCAGCATGCCCCAACCCCCCACCGTTGAAATGAGAAGGCAGGTAAACAAGTTTCAAAACCAGACTTCCAGATCACCTAAAACAACTCCAAAGGGAAATGAGATGGAACAATGTGATACTCAACCACCTGGACTCCCTGAACTGGCAACCAAAGAGGATCTGGAAAAAATGAAATCAGAAATAATTTCTCAGATAACAACAGAGATTGTGCCCATGGTGCAAGACATGATTAATAAATCTAGAGAAGACACAGATAAAAAAATAGAGGAGCTCAGGAACATTATGGAATCCCAACATAGGAAACAAACGGAATCTATAAAACAGATGCAAACAGATTTCCAGGAGATTAAAAACTCCACTGAAAGTTTACACAGCAGAATGAGCCAATGTGAGGACAGAATTTCAGATATAGAAGATAATATTGCAATTAGTGACCAGGAAAAGAAAAATTTCTTTAAAATTGA